CGTTCGACGCACCAAACGGAGACGACACGTTCAACATACTAGGCGAAGACACGTTCATACTTTTTATCGACGAAGACAAAATAACTAGACAAGCCAACGATTAGAATTATGTTGAGTACACAATCCATAAAATGTGAATGCGAATGCACTTTCATCAATAGAATCAACGAAAGAATATTCCAATACCTTGAAGCAATTTATGATGCAAGAACAATCTCCCCTCACCAAAAAAAATAAAAAAAATAGAAAATTGGTCTCGACCTAACAAAAAAAGGCTGAAAAGAGCTACAAGAAAATCGAAAAAAAAAAAATAAATAATCATTCTAGGAAAAATGCACTAGACAAAATACAAAAAAAAAAAACAAAAAAATCATTCTAGGGAAAATGTACTAGACAAAAAAAAAACAAAAAAAAACGTAATGTGGCCCCCTTCCCTCTTCAAGGGAGGAGTGACGGTTCCAAGCCCGATTAACACAGAGGACATTTTTTTCAATTTCCAAAATTATTTGAATTAGTGCACGCTTCTTGCAAATATGGACCGATATATGAACATGAAATGCCTCCTATGGCACGCAGAAGAGCAAAAGCAATATATTCCGTGCTAAATATCTAACAGTTTAAAGTGTGTTTGTGCAGCAATGTGAATTTATCATCTGTGTACCAAGTTCCCCTTTATTATGAGTAAACGCAAAGCAAAAGCTTCGGATGCCTTGGATAGTGACAATTCGGAAATGACCCTCTCGCACTCTGACCCGTACAATGATTCAACTGGAATCCAGCCAAATGGAATATATCGGTGCACATATCCAGGATATGTAAAAAAATGATTTTAAAAGCCAAGCAGCTTTGAATGGGCACATTGGACGCTCTCATTCAAAAAGAAAACAGGGGCCCGGCGTAAAGAGGAAGTACGTAAGAAGTAGACACTACGCAAATCCTGGTCGAATGCCGAAAATAAATATTCCAAACTCAGTCGCAGTGCCAGTGCCAGTGAAACGGAAAAAGCGCTCTATTGACAGTACACAAGTTGAAAATGAAGAATTTGAATTTGAAAATTTCGTTAATTTTGAAGAAAATGAACTAATGGAAATTCAAAGCATTGATGTCAAAGCAACGACAGAGAATAATGGCCTAGAATTTCAATTTACCTGTAATCAAGAGAAAGAACTACCGGCAGTCGAAAACATTATTGAACGCACGACAGATACTGGCAAAATAACTATTCCAAATTTTTTTCAAATAATTTAGTGAATTGTGTGCGCAAACAAAAGCGTGCTGTAGCTAAGAAGAGAACGGCGCCACAGATCCAGTCAGCCATTCGAAAGATAAACAATAAATCGATTCATGTGGACAATGAAGACAATTCATATGGAGAAATTATGTATTATCTCATAGATCAAAACAAAGAAAACAAATATTTGATTCCCGTATAAAACGCAGAAAGACAAAACGTAGAATAAAAAACGCCGAAAAAAACGCAGAAAGACAAAATGCAGAAAAAAACGCAGAAAAAAAAACACAGAAAGACAAAATGCAGAAAAATGAAAAATTTGATTTTTGACTAAAATATTGGGTAAATGAGGGTTCTTTTGGGTTATTTTTCCAAAATAATGGCATTTTATCTTGGCCAAAACCTCGAATAGTGTATTTTTCTGGTACCTCACATACATTACATTTACACTAGCATTTAGGACAACAACAAAGAGAGAGAAAGAAAATAAAAGGACAAAAACATCCTCGTCCAATACCATTGATTTTACATGTAAAATAACAACAAGAAACGACAAAAGTGACCTCTTGTAGCGGCACAGTTCAAACTTACGAAACAAACACAATTGAACATGTCATTTTCATGTTCAGTGTTGGTTCTGTTGTTTGCTGTATAGCCGGAGAGAGATGTCTACAGCTTAGTGGCGTTGAATGAAATTCAACACCCATGGACAAAAACCATTATTCATAATATATCTGTATATTGTGCTCATTTTCATTCAAGTTCAAGCCCGGGCACATCGATTTATCCCGAAAATTCACGCACTCTTCTTTCAGTATGCATACTCACAAAAAACTCAAAGTTAAAACTTTGACCACTAGAGGTCAAGATAAGCGGTCCAATCCTCGAAAAGGACAAAAATTACATATTTTGTCTTTATGGTGGTTAAAACGCCACTCAGTGGCAGAAACGTCAAAACAAACTATAGCTGTCAAAGTCATTTACTCATTCGAATGCCGCAACAGTTTTATTCCACCAGCTTCCACCAGTGAAAGCAAGGATCTTTAATATTAAACCGATTTGTGATACAGAAAATTGGCACGAAAATGTCGTTTGATCGTGTTCATTGTGAAGATAAACGGCATTTCATAAAAATTGAAGATGTTGAAAATGTGAATTTTGGCAGTTGAGTCCACGTTTATAGGTGGAATTGAATGCTTTAAGATGATTTAAGGTCGAAGCAAATGTAAAATCTCCTCAGGACTTGTGCGATTTTCGTGAATACTTTGATGACACAATCTCAAACTCTTTCATTTGTTTTAATAAATTCTCTCCAATTTGGAATATTTGATTTGTTACTTTTTGATTACCACCAAGTTCGACCACTGATTTCATAAATTCATTCACCAACGTCGGTGAATCAATTATTTTTGTGCGGTGCTTCTCATCTGAAATAATATCACTCGATTCAAAAACATACGGTCCCCTTTCTACATTTTCAGCGCTTGAGCTCTTAAAACTGCTTGCGTTAAATACGAATTCCTCGTCGCTTTGCAATGATAACTTTTCCGAGATAGAATCATCATAATTAGAAGCCAAAAATATTTTATCTGTGATTTTGCTATTACAAACATTTTCAATATCATCTGATTGAAAACTTTGTGAATGTAAATTTAACTTTTCAAGTTCTTTAGCAATGGCTTTTTGCGGTATTTCTGGATCGACGTCCTCTGTTGTAGTTTGGACGCATTTTTCAATGTGTTTTTTCAACCCGTTGAACGTAGTAAATTGTTTTTCACACTTTGAGCTCTCGACTGGACACTTTATTGAATGCACTCTTTCTTTAATTGAATGTTGTTTTTTCAAATGTTTAATAATCTCGTTTTTATTCTCGAAACAAATAGGACACATATAACATTTTAGCTTCATTTTGACTACAGTTGTGTTGATATAAACACAGATAATTGACAGTAAACCTATTTTAACCACGGCAAAGCCAAAACAGATATTTTTTGTCCGTTCCAAGGATTGGACCGCTTATCTTGACCTCTCGTGGCCAAAATTTTAACTTTGAGTTTTTTGTGAGTAGGAGAATTGTCATGGACGAAACAATGTTCTCAGTACTGCCGAATTAAGCTTTAATAGAAGGCAATGCCATTTCATCGAGAATTTCTAAATGCGCTTCGTCCTGTCCATAATAACCAGCCGTCGAACGACCACCTAATTGTAATGCGATACTGAGTACCATGCAAATTCAATGCGTTGCCAAAATGCCAAATGTCCGGATTCTTTCTCATTGTTCCATCGCCAGTGCATGGCACGTCACATAGAATACGGTCGAATTTCAAGACTGAACCTTCAGGTGTTCTGAACGCCGGCATACATGAACTGTCTTGATTGACAACAACGAAACATGGGGAGTTAAATCTTTGCTTGATGCACCAACATATAGCATCGGTTGATGAATGATGAAACATCTAAATATTTCAATAATAAACTGAATTACCAATTGGTGATGCATTTTTGTAAATCAGAATTTTAAATAATTTTTCCTTTCATTTTGTGGAAATGGAAACAGAAATTAGCATGTATTCTCAGTAAGAATTTCTTATTTCTCATCCATCATGTTTGTCTGTTGTCTCAATCACCTTTGTCTGTAAAAAACACAAATTAATTTCTAAAAAAAGTAAAATTGTTTGAAATAAAAGCCAGCCATTAGATTTCATAAAATTGTTTTTGTTTTATTTATTTATTTATTTCTTTTTGTCTCTCATTTCAATTTTAATTCTTTCTCAGTTTCTGTCTATTTTACATTAATACATAATAATAATAGTAGCTATTTTCTTGAATCATATATTCCATTTTTACCGTTGAATTAAAATAGTGAAAAATGTTGTCCATGTGTGTGTTTTGTGTGTGTGTGTTGAGGAGGAGTGGGTGTAGTTTCCATTTAAAATATTCCATTTGAATATTACAGAAAATTGTACTGGATTGAAAATGAGCGGCGTTTAAAATCAGGATGTGAGCTCATGACGTGGCGATGGTGAATCGTTTGTATTTAAATGGTGGAGCAGATGACACTCAAGTCAAGTGTCAAAGAGTAAACTCTTTTGTTCAGCCAAAAGAGTCGATTTACTTGATATAGATAAAGTTTTGATATAAATTGTCTAAAAAAAATTGTGACTATAAATCCTGCATGTTCCTTATTATATGACACACCATTCGGTCCCTGGCTTGAGAGAAAGACTAAAAAACACATTATTTCCAATGTGTGCTGACTGAAAAATCTCACGCATCTCCGACACGCATCTCACATCGCGATTCAACTCCGCAAATTCTCTTCCAGCTGAGCTATAAATGTTCTAAACTATATCATTTTCTCTTTTTTTTATTCCTTTTGCTAAATGGCTTCAAAATTAAATATTTTTTGGGGATTGTTTAATTTTGTTTTGTGTAATATTTATCGCTACTCCAATCATTTCGAAAAATTCAACATTGGAGTGTTCAAGTACACACATTACGTACGTCATCAATCCGAATCATTTCGGATCGCGCGTTTACTTAAACATCATTTCACAATTTTCACGTTTTATTACTCCCCACTACATCTTCGTCATTTTCTATACAACAAATTAATGAAAAAAGGAAAGAAAACAAATTAACTATTTATTGTGTTTCTTGTGTTGTGTTCGTGTGTATTGTTTGTTTTTGCTTTTTTGAATAAAGAATTATGCGATATAACTTTATCAATGATAATAATAATAATAATGTTTTTTTTATAATAATAATAATAATAATAATAATAATAATAGTAATAATAATTCTCAACAACTTCAATGCTTGCTCTTGAATGTTTGGTGGAATTTTGTTTTTTTTTCTTATTGATTTTGTTCATGTATGTATTTAAATGTTTTGCCTTTAGTTTAATAGTTTTTTCTTGTGTCGTTAAATATTTGTTTGGGCTCTAAATTTTTGATGTCTATTTATTCATTTAAATGTTTAAATTCAAGTGTCAAGTGTAATTGTATTTTCTACACGCTATTTCGTGTTAAGTCAGTTTAAAAAAATAACCAGTTTTAGCCATCTGCTCTGCTACATTTCTCTCTTGCGTATGTTCAATGCTTATTTTGTCTGTTTCTGTTTTGCTTTTTCTATTTTATTGACGATAGTATTTTAAATGTAGTTTTGCATTTAGGAAAAATATATCATCGTTTCACACAATTCAAATAAATCAATGTTGGCCTCTCTGGTGGCGCTGCTGCTTCTGTTTTTTTTATCCAATGAAAATTCTCCCAAACAGATTGACTCATCAATGAAACGATAAAATCTATTTAGGTGTAGTGGGGAGGTTGTGATTTCTTTCTTGTTCTTTTTTGCTTCTTTTTTTTTGATTATCTTGAAGATGTCAAGGATACATGACGGATGTTGATGCACATTTTTCTTCTTTATCTATATTACACAACAATATTTCAAACAAAAACGAAGATAAATACAATTTCAAAACAAGGAAAAGCCTAGTGATTTGAGTTGTTTCTTTGTAGATTTTTCCTGTTGAATGAACGAAGAAAATGAAATTCATTAGCACGTTAGCATAGATTTATGAATATATATAAGAAAATGTTGAATGTTATGCCTTTTTAGTGTGCCCGAAATCACATCGTTTGCAACCATCACCAAGTAAGTGTCGGAGTGCTTGTTAGTCGAATGATTAAAAACTTACCTACCGCAAAACTTTCTCAATAAGCGTATTGATTCGGGTCTCCGAATAGCCAGGTATTAATTTGTGAATAATTTCCTTTACGAATAAATCACTAATGCCTGGACAGCTTCGTTCGGCCATTTCGAATGCGGCTTGCAGATCGATGATATCCACCGTTGATGCATTTTTACCAGAGTAATGATACTTCTTTTGAATCTAAAATGGGAAAATTCAAAAATGTTACTACTGCAGGAGATCGAACGATGAACAAAAAACGACAGAGAGAGAGAGTTAGAATTTCGGTTGAACACTTACATCCGACAGAAGCGGAAATATAACACTGTTCACATTGCTACTGCTCATATTGCCATTTGACATGCGACCAGCTTTCTGCGGTGTTGATGGGGCAATGTTTGTGATACTCTTGCTAGATGACACATTTCCATTGTTGCCATTTTGGGAAATTTCCTTGACACTGTCACGATTCTCGCGTCGCAGACTCGACGATCGTCTTTCATCGCTTTTTGACGATGGTTGATCAGCCTGGGTGGAGTGAAAGGAATGAGTTAATATGATGCGTTAGTCGAGCATTTGTAATTGAGTCATGCAATGATGATTTGTTAGAAGAAAACCAAATTTTTCTGGAGAATTTTGAACTTTTACCTGTTGTTGTTTCTTTTCACGTAAAATTTCTCTTTCGCGCTCTCTCTCACGTTCTCTCTCGCGTTCCCGTTCCCGTTCCCGTTCGCGCTCTCTTTCTCTTTCTCGTTCCCGTTGTTCACGCTCTCTTTCTCTTTCTCGATCCTGTTGTTCGCGCTCTCGTTCCTCTCGCTCCTTATCCTTCGTGTCTTGATCGTATTCCCATCCGTCATTGTCGTCTTTCTTGTGTCGTTCGTGCTTGTCTTTCTCCTTTTGCGGCGACAATGGAATCGATTTCGAGTGGTTGGGTGACTGTGACAGATTGATAGATTTGCTATTGTCATGATTTTCTATCGATATCGTATGCGACACAGCATTGGTTGTAATCGGAGTTGCGGTTGTTGTCGCTGAAGGCCTTGACTGCTTTATTGATTCAATTTGAAAAATGACAGAAAAAACAAGAAGAAAATGCCGTCATCATCAATACCATTGGTCGCATTTTTAATTGCATTTAATATTGTTATGCTGCGCTCGACTGTGCCAACTAACCTGATTCACTTTGTAATGATTTAGATTTGAATCCCTAGTTAATGAATTACTCGAACCGTTGTGTTTGTATGGTGATGTTGACAGAATGGCATCGTCACCACTCAATATGGCAGCGCCCTGTTTATTTGAATTATTGAAATTGTTTCCTTTCACCGTCATTATCCATGGCTCGTCTAAGTCACTGTCTGGCTTTGATTCCTCACTTTAAGATTAAAACGCACACACACACACATTTAGGTATTAGTGAAAATTATTCGTACAAATACTATGAACGTTGTGATATGGCACGTAAAAAAATACTTACGAATCTGAATTTTCCGATTCTGTTTCGCTTTCTTCGCCTTTCTGCGTTTTCCACTTTTTATATCGATCGATCAAATCGATGAGGTACGAATTCTTTTTGGCTTTCTTGATGAATTGAAATTTGAGAAGCTCCTTAGCTGTCGGTCGCTGCGAAACGTTCAAAGTAAAAAACCACGATTAATATGAATTTAAGTTCAAAAATTGCCTAAGTTCAGATGCAATTTTCACTTGAACAACTTACATTTTCCGGTTCTTTATTCAAACAAGCTTCGACAAATTCCTTGAATGACTTTGTATAGTTGCCGGTCAATTGCGGTGGATTGTTTTTCGGGATCAAAAACAGTACACGCATCGGATGTAGTTCAGAATTGGGCGGTTCACCTTTGGCCAATTCGATCGCTGTGATGCCCAGTGACCAGATGTCAGCTTTCGAATCGTACATCGACTGTTTGATAACCTCAGGTGCCATCCAAAATGGTGTACCAACAAATGTATTCCGTTTGGATGTGGTGTTGGTGAGTTGACCCGCCACACCAAAATCAGCTAGTTTCACGTCACCCATTTCACTGAGCAACACATTGGCAGCCTTTATGTCTCTGTGTAATTTACGCTCCGAGTGCAGATAATCTAAACCTTTGAGAACTTCACGCAATATAATGGCAATATGCATTTCCTCGAATGAACCAGCCTTCATAAGATCCAACGCTGATCCGCCACCCAAATACTCCATGATAATCCAGAGTTTCGTACCCTATAGACGATGCGACAGCAAATGAAAACAGAAATCAACGTTAGAAAAAGTAGGCGGTAATTGCAAGTGTCAATATTTAGCCTTTACCTTGAGGAAGGACCCATAGTATTTTGTGACGAACGGCGAGTCGCACTGTGATAGCACCATAATTTCCTGTTGTATATCTTCGATTTCATCTTCGGCCTCTTCCAAGTCAATGATTTTAATGGCTACCACCTGAAAATGCAATTTAAATTTAATTATTTCATTTTCACTTTTACGTACCAACCGAATGCCTTCGGACAGATTTTCCAACAACGTGTAATCAAAGTGAATACAAATTCCATCCCATTGCGTGTACATGTTTTTCTTGGTTGTTGTGCTCGAAAATACATGCCAAGCGAACAGTCAAGAGTGACAACATGCACAGATTGCGAATGTACATATTTGACATGGCAAACAGCATTTCTCTTGAGAACTGAATTCTGACTCAATTAAATTGTGATTGCAAATGGGTGCAAATAGTTTGTGCATGTTCGACACACTCAAAGTTCGATGACGCTATATTGGAACATTTGCATATCTTGGATTTTAATTAAATTGTTTAACACCATACCTGCTGTGTTCGATTGTCGATTCCTTTGAAAACTTCACCGAATGATCCCTTTCCGATTCGCTCTTGTTTCGTGAAAATCAGCTCTGGGTCGACTTTCTGTAAGAGAGAGAAAAAGAGAAGAAAAAAGACAACATCGATTAGAATTGATCGAAATAGATGTTATTCCTGTATAGAAACACATAAAAATTTGCATTTTATTTGTCAACTGTTCCCGTTCCTTGTCACATCCCACCGGCTGACTAACATGGAATTCAAAAAAGTGTGTGTTAAGACGAGCCTTTTGTTTTTCTAACATTATTAAAAATTCGATAAATTTCATTTTATGACCTTCCGGAAATTTACACAGGCTATAAAAATCGCGATAGGCGAATATTTACGACTTTATAAATTTAGAATATCCGCACAAAAGCACATGCGATTGAGACATTGGAAATTGAACGTGCTCATTTTTGGTCGATTGCAGACGGGGCGCTAAATCAAAGATTTTGCATTGGGGACCGATTCAACGTGTTTATGGCATTGAATTTATCATAACGGCCCGATATTTATATATAGACATATATTTATGGTTCATAAATATTGGACGAGATATTTTTTCCGCCGAATGAATGTATGGTTTGCAATAAACGTAAACAAAGTCACAAAAATGCCATCAATATAGATTTTTGTTTAACAACAAACAGTAAAAAAAACACACACACAAATAAAGCTATATTTATGGGAGGGTTGCACGTGAAACACGTTTTTGTCAAATAACCGATGCATGCACTAGACTTTCATCCATTTTTTATGCCAAAGCTGCTTAATGGCAAATAGATATCGGTTTCTGTCGTCGCTTTTCGAACGCATCGATTTGTGTGTGAGAGAGAGAAAGAGAGATATTGAAAGAGAGAGAGAGGTTGTGAGAGAAAAAGAAAAAAAAAACATTTGTTGAATTGATGCTCTGGGAATTTTTTTTTGTTCTACCTTCGATACAAATTGCAGTGGTGGTTTCGAGTTACGCGAAACATTTTTACGATATTGGTTTATGTGCTGCTCTGATTCTATAGCAGCTCAATGACCACTTCGATATATATATATATATATATAGTATGTATCACCTTCCCATTTGCGGTTTAGAAGATATAATAATCGCCTTTTGTGTGTCTGCGTGTTTGGCTCTTGTGTTTGCCAAAGAAACCCATTTATTATCGTATAGTAACTATCATTATAAGTGTTGTGCGTATAATTGACGTTAACGTCGACTTAGTTCGTAAATTTAAAACCAACACGATAATCGTCGTAAAGATTTTATCCCACGAAGAAGTAGTTATCTAGTGTCAACATGCTGACGATTATCACGTAAATGTGTTTTCTATGGTTCATTTTATCAGATAATATTACGGGTCTGTATCATTTTGTGAATTTCATCGGTTTTTTAACCTCGATCAAAACTAATTACACTTTTGCACAATCCACTCAGTCGAGTGGCATGGTTAGAACAAGATTCAAGGGCATTTAATCCAGTCGAAAATGTATTCGCTTAATTCATTGACTATCAAAATGTTGCTGTTGCTGCTGATATTTTTGAAAATTGTTCAAGTTTCAACGGCACCGACAAATAGTGTCGAATTAGATGTGCCATTCTCATGATGCGACGAAGATTATCCAGTTACTGATTTAATCGACACATATAATGCAGATGATGCCGCCGCCGCCGACCACGACGATGACATCGCTTTTGAAGAAATTTCGTTTTGAAAGCAGACTCTATTTCAACCAAATTACTTTGGAAATTCATAGAAAACGATTTAGTTTTTGTTTTTTGTTTTTTAACTCAAAAACTGTATATCAAATGCTGTTGAATAAAGAATAGTGTATTCGAATGTGTTAGTGTTTTGTTTAACTCGGGATAACATTCGAGTTTTTCCTCTAATTCATTTTGTTTTCATTTTTGCAACGGAATTCTGTGTACGATGTTGTGTGCTCATTTTTTGTCAAACGCATGCATTTTCATTTTTCCCAATAATCCTGAGGAGAAATGTCTCTTCATAAAATATGCTTTCTGAATGATATTGTAATTTTGATTGTGATCGAATAATTTTCGCATAAAAAAGCGTACAGAATTGTGGAAATGTGATTGGCGTCTCTCGAAGCGAGCACAACGAGTTAAAGAAGCTAGTTGGAACCAACATTGAGATGGGGTTGCTTTTTCCATCTTCTTTCATCATGTTTTTTTACTCTCGACTCGAAGTTCAGTGAACTGGTTGCTATTTATAAAATGACAAGAAGGAAGTTTATCGTAAAAGACAGACCCATAATATGCCTATAATATGGAGCCATGTGTATGATTTTTCAGTTTTCTTCTTATTTATTCGTGAACGATCTCATTTGATTGTACGTGGTGTCCCTGTTAAACGGGCGCATTTCCATTGGTAATGCCATGCTCCAACTGCCATACTCCAACGACACACGATGCAATCATATCCGGGCGAGTTCGAATATAACTCGAGGAAGTAGAAGGCAAAAAAAATTGTATCGTTCGTTGGGGCGTTTCATTCGATTATAAAATTGGTTGGGTTGCATTCTAAACATGTAGCAAACACTTTATCTAATGTCAAGTGTGTTGTGTACACTACAATATTCGGTGGAAAAGGAAAGCAATGGAGCAAAAACTTCCCGTTTTGCGAAAATGTGGTGGATGCAGCGGCTGGATAATGGCTGTATGTGTGTGCTCCATAAAAACTAAAACGGCAAAACCGAAAACGATGTGGGTTTTTGCGAGACGGCAACAATAATATTTGCAAAACACGCACATGTGGAAAACGGTTTGGTGCACACATTTTTTTTTTCTTCTTCTATTCCGTGTACAAACGGAGGAGGGATGTGTACAAAAGCAAATAAAACGGAAAAATATGCTCTGTCTCCAGAGAGATGCCAATGCGGAACACTAATATCACATTGAATGTTTTTATTTATGTTTATTTGTTTATCGCCTGCTATGATGTTGCTGCTCGCTACTGCTACTCCATTCACGCAGTGTGGCAATTCGTGCGTTGAGTAGTACATTCGTGCGCGCCACTGTCGCATTTCGATGGTGTCGAATGCAAAGCTGACATCTCTCCCTCTCCTCATTCGGCGCGCTATTTTTCCTCTTGATAAGATATGGAGTTGTAGGGAGATAGACAGTGTTCATGCGTTATTTTGGCGCAATTTTTTTTTCGTGTTGGCATACGGTTGCATGCAACATTTACCGTGGTGCAAAATAAGCAATTTATATTTGTTGAACTTTAACACGTCGCCTTTTTTGCGCAAAACTTCAATCAAAACATTTCGAAATTGAGTAACAACATTTTATTCATCACGCGTACCCAGCGTTGAAACCACAACCAACACACGCTCATGCATTTTGCAACAGAAGTTTTTATTTCGCTCGTTTTCGGAGTAAGGGTTCTTTGCACCCTTCGAAACGAAGACAGAAAAACAAACGAAAAATATACGATATTTGTCTTGATCTCAATTTCATTAGGTGTTCGATGATGTTGGAGGTGGCTTCTCAATGGCTTCATTTCACCATGTGTGTGAGTGAGTGTGTTTGTTCTGGAAAATTGCTTATCCCAAAAGAGAACATCGAAAATCCCGTAGTTGAAAACAAACATCGTTGAAATGGAAATGGAAACGAAATACACCCAATAGTTTTATTTTGGGATCAAGCGCTTTGACGAATGGCATGGTTACGCTTTATTCGCATGGATAGTGAGAGAAAGTGTGTGAGAGACAGGATAAAAATATAGCGCTACTTGTCGACAAAATGTACGTATGATGCATGTGCTAAACCTTTTCAAGGAAACCGAGAATGAGAAAGAAAGAGAGAGAGAGAGAGAGAGAAAATATTTGGGTGATAAATTACAAAAATAGACATGGTTACGGGGAAAGCATTTTATTTCGACAACGCAATCTCTTTTCCCTGATTTTAACGAGGTTTGTTGTTTATAGTACATATATACAGATGTAAGTGTGCATGATTCTCTTTTGCACTTTCATTCGCACACATTTTCTGCTTGCACGACTTGCCTTGCCTTGACTTCATAGTTTATTCCCCTGCTAAATGAACTTTTCATTAGTTTTCTCGGTTAATGGCAAAGCAACACTTAGCAAATAAGACACAAAGAAATTGATTCAGACAGGAAAAAGATGATGCAATTCGCATGCTTCTTGTTTCATTCGGAAGATACCGTGTGCAATGTGCATTGTATTATACTTAGTACGACGATGGGTGAATTGTTTGGATTGTATTACATGATGCATTTTCAATCAAGAACAAAATCAAAGTTCGAATTGTGTGTAAATGTTCATGAATATATCGTCGTCAATCGATGTAATTCAAAACGATCCAAAGAGATGGAAGAGACGAAGAGCATTTGCTAAGAACACGTGTATGTGATTTCATCATTCGATAGCTGCGATTCCTCAACAACGCAACGTTCAGCTAGAAAGTATGCGCCCGAGCTTCTATGTTCGACGTCAATAGGCATACACACACTATTTCAAATCGAATGACGAGCATGCGGTCAGCTTGTGCTCTTATGAACAAAACATGGTATCATTCGATAGTTGCGATTCTGAGTGAGAATATTCCTGAACATCTTCAGACATAATGCCCGGTTAGCTCAGTCGGTAGAGCATGTGGCTCTTAACCACAGGGTCGTGGGTTCGAGCCCCACATTGGGCGCTGATTTTTTTGCATTTTTTCCATTTTTATTTCTTTTTTTTTATCATTTCATTGATATTCGGTTTTGTATCATACTTATCATTTATGTTTTTTTTTCTCTAAAAAATTGAAAAAATCGTTTGATGCATAATTCAATATAAAGTCCAATCTGTATATAAAGTCTCGATCAAATTATTGAAAGAGAATGAAAAAAAAAATCAGCGCCCAATGTGGGGCTCGAACCCACGACCCTGTGGTTAAGAGCCACATGCTCTACCGACTGAGCTAACCGGGCATTATGTCTAAAGATATTCAGGAATATTCTCACTCAGAATCGCAACTATCAAATGATAGCGCGTTTTGTTCATAGGAGCACAGGTTGACCGCATGCTCGTCATTCGATTTG